AGGTTGGATTTTAGGGAAAATTCCTCCTGGGAAGGGCTGCCCAGCCCTGGCACAGGGATGTGGAATCCCCATCCCTGGAGGGATTTCAAAGCCCTGTAGATGTGGCACTTGGGGACATGGTCAGCGGTGGCCTTGGCAGATCTGGGAAATCATTGAACTCCGTGATCTTGGAGGGCTTTTCCAGCCTCACCAATTCTGTGATTCCACGACTTTTCCCATTGAAAGTTTCGCTTGTCAGGGGAAGGGAAAGGCTGAACTAGGAATTACCTGCCAGCCCAACTGTTCCATGTCACACCGACCAAGAAACAAAACACGAGGCAGAGGAAAGGGAGGGAGAGGATTCCAGCCACTTCCTGTAAATTTAAGGACATCTACCCTTCAAAAGTGCAAAAAAAAAGAACGATGGAAGGGACACAGAAAGACAAATGTAGCAATAAACCGGGTGCCAGGAATTCACTCCATGGGCTTTGCAGAAAATCTCCAGGATCCTTTTCCTAAGTTGCCTGCACAGGGCGAGGCAGCAGCACAATAAATGCACACAGGGGGATTTTTTAGGGGTAACTCTTCTCTCCTGGGTATTTTGTTGCTGCCTGGACCCTCAAACACAGCACAGGATTAGTGGGAATGGGATCAGTGTCTCTTGTGAAGGGCAGGACAGGCTTGAGGGGAACAAATTCATGTCAAATACACACAAATCTCTGAAACAATCCATCTTTCAAACCTCAAACTTCACTATAGAGGGTGAATATCAAATATCTCCCAGACAGCCTCTCAATATGAGCACTTTCCCATCGATATAAATGGGAATATCAGCAAAATTAAACACATTTAAGTCTCTGGTAGCTCAGTCTGGGCTGTGCACCTATTTTTCATTGATATGTGAATAAGAGCGAGGAGGAAAGAGATGGTGCCTGTTCCATGAAATCCTCACCTCCCCAAGCCCTCAGCTCCCCACATTCCCAGTGCAGGGGTCAGGTATTTTCCCTGCAGTGCCCCCAATCCCAGGGATTGCCGAGCAGGGTGCATTCCTTATAAATGTGGCTTTGTAGGCAGAGCTGGGCCTGAGTGGGGCCCTGTGTTTAATTATTTATGCTTTCTTATATTACTGCTGCCTTTGGAGGTGCCAGCCCAGAGAAGGCCCCCGTTGTCCCCACGAGGAGCAGACAGACATCCCCTGCTCCACCCCCGGCCCAGGAAAGCGCCCGTGGTCAGGAAAGCCTTTAAGCACCCTAATGAGACTTAAGTGCATGCTGAAAGTTAAGCCTGGCCTTATTCCTGCCCAGCCCCAAGGAGCTTAGGCTGTGAACAGCATATTTACAGTCCCCGGTGATAAATGTCGCCTTTATTTATTTTTTAATATTTTATTTTTTTATTTTTTTTTTTGCACCTGAAAGGGCCTGTTCTTCCCGATTTGTGGAAGCTACTGTGGATTCGATCCTGCCTTTTAAGGGAAGCCAGTAGGGGACTCAGTTGTACAAATAACTGGACCCTATAAAAATAAATAGAAGATTGCATTTGGATATTGGGGGATTTTTTTTCTCGAGGAGGATGATGCCCCAGTGTAGCTGTGCTGAACTGAGGGTGGTTCATTTGGGAGCAAACCTTTGGCTGCAGCATTTTGGGAGCGTTGCCCTAAATTTGAGCATTTCTGGGCTTCAGGCAGCAAGTCTGCCACACTTAACAGAGCTTCTCACCCATCCAGCCCTGAGCTGGGAGAAATGGGCTGAGCCTGACTCCAGATCCCCCTCTCACTGCTGGGAAGGAAGGGAGAAAATGCCTTGGGAAAGGGGTGCTGCACAAAGCCATTGGGATCATAGAATCCCAGAATGGTTTGGGTTGGA